TTTGCGGACTAGCTCAATTCTACGGACGCTCTCGACGATTCTTTTTTGAACAAAAAAAATCTGAAAAAAACGCATGAACCCATGAGATGGGTACATACCATTTAGAAGGGTACATAAGTTGTTTTCGTGATATTTACAGTGTTCGGCGTCAAGTGCCCTTCTGCGGGGTATGTATCCATCTCCGGGGTCGGCCAGAAACAAATAAAATAAAAAAATAAAAATTGTGATGTGACTCGAACTTTTGAAAATCACTTGCAATTGAGAAGGGCACATCAATATCTGGGATCCCGCTGGGACAGTTCATGACTTCCACCAGGACTTCCAAAGTCAAAATTCGTGCCGTTGGCGATGCGCGACGAACGATATACGATGAATGGCCATTTCTCAGAACAGTTGAGATGGGCACATATCATTGAGAACGTACGGCCTTTTGATGGATACTGTATCTCGGCGGGCATTAATTTTGTTGCCGCTGTTGCTTTGCATGTTCTATCCATTCAAAATTATTCAAGTATATTCAAGTATTAATTAGTATCATCAAGATTCGTCAAGCATCTTTTTATGGAGTATTGCATCTCCGCAGTTGAGCCCGTCTTTCCTATCACACACTGCTAGGAGGTTTGAAAAGGACACATCTGGAAAGCAACATCCGTGTCAAGTGATGGGATGTGATGGGCCAATGTGTAAAATCATCTGCGTCGGGCCTGTGGGCTCATGATGGTTGCACATGTTGGCACTCTGTCATGGCAAATGCACGCGCCCAGCCGCTGACAATAGTTGCTCCCGCATGCCTTCCAATAAGCCAAGAGACAAAAGTTGCAGAAGGGAACCAAGACTTGGTGATTTCATCTTTTGACTTCAATCTGAAAGTGCATCATTCATCCCAGCACTTCTCTCGATTTTTCCACCAGCTATTTGTATGATGAGGACCGCCACAAGATGATTGTGACTCTCAAAGCACTTGCCTTGGACGGTGCGCTGCTTTGCTGAGTGGCATTCCGGCCACCTCGAGGTCCCTCAGCCAGACCGAAAGGCTGATGAGACAAGTTGTTGGTGAACCACGGCCTTCAACTACTGATTCACAGAAGCCTCACCGGTGACAACATCGAGGCACCCGTATTTTCGCGTTCTGCTGGGGTTTGGTAAGAAGAGAAGCCCTTGGGTATATATTTACTGTGCATGATTTTACCCCGTGGATCCCTGTGGTATGATTTTGCGATTTGAACCGGATCTGTGATCTCCTATTCACCCTATGTTCATCACCATTTCTGAGGTCCTAGTCTCAAACACGGCATGACACAGCTTAATTAGGCACGATGATCCTTGACCTTCGTATAATTTCGCAAGACTTGGCGTTCAAAACTGGGTACCCAGACCATCCGCACTGGCGCTTTCCGTGGCTGCGCTTCATCGCAGCGAACAGAGCCCTTGGTGAGGCACTCCTCTTGGGTACCATTTCAAATGGTGGATGAACAAATCAGTCAAGGATTAAAGCACTTCCATTTATGTTGGAACTCACTTCGGCGTGAAAAAAAGTATCACACACTGTAAACTGTAGCGAGTACCAACTTTCATGGAAATATTGATGTGCTCATGCATCTTCCCTGCCAACATCAGTCATTTGGAAGCAGCAACTTTATGTCCTGTTGCCCAACAACCCCCTGCGACTTGCTTGAGCTGGGGTTCAAGTGCGCTCCAGTCTATCTTCAGAACCGATTGGCTGCCTCCTGCAAAACAGAAGCCGCATCCCTGCCTCACCAGATTACTCTTACATCCCTGATTTGGTGAGGGCCTCATCACGGTCACGTGTTCCGCGTTTGATCATAAACACTGACAACCCAAGGGATCTTTGAGGTATCCAGCATTTTTGAAAGGATTCCTGTCCAGGTGATGAAGCTGTGACTGCCAGGCAGTTGCGTCCTGTAAGGAAGCTGTGTATCTCCATCACTCCAGGCCGCTGCAAAGGCTCCAATTGCAACATGTGAGGAATCAGCTCCACCAGTTCCTTAGTTTTTTGGGTTATGGAATTTTATGGATCAAACTCTGAGGTTGACAAGCCCACAGATATTTTGACAATCTCACCATGCACCGGGGCAACTGAGTTGAGCCAAGCCTCGGGCCACGCTTGTTTGGTAGGTGTCTCCTGGAAGGCGAGACTACCACATCGCAAGTTGGGAAATCCTGGAGGAAACCATGGCATCACTACAGGATCTTCATGGGTTTTCGGGTGAATTTGCCTTAAAACCAATTCCGGGATGGGTGAGTCGATAGAAAACCAAGGGGATTAAGGAATTTAAGGGTTCCCAATAGTGTTTTCTGACAAACCTTGACCGGTTTGCCGATTCTACCACAGACCTGGAAGGTTGGATACCATAATTATATAGCAGACCATCCGCACAATAACTGGATCAAGGCTGCTGAATCCAAAGAAAGGTCACCGCTCCGTGACGCTTTTCCTCCGATGATCCCAAAAAAATGAATTTAGTACAGTAGGGCAAACTAGCTGCCGCATATCTTTCACGTTCTTTCACACAGACTTACAAACCATAAACATCCATAAACATCCATAAACCACCTTGACCCTCACGATTTTGTCACTTGAGAGCAGGCGGAGGCGGACGAAAGGTAGTGTAGTGGGAGAGGAGTGGTGTCAAAATTCTGCGCCCCTAAGATGATACACCAAAAACGTTTTTGCGCAGTCTAAGATGATTTTATCCAGAGCATGACTGCATGATACGGTGTCTTGTGCAGCGTGAAATGATGCACGAACCCCTTGCAGCAACTGTTATTGAGGCTGAAGCATACCAATTATGCTGGACTACAGGGACATCTCCCTCATGGAAAGTGTGCCTCTAATGTGGGGGCCCGTGACCGCGTCACCCGTGGGAATTGAACCCAGGACCATTTTAACGGCGAGAATTCCATGAATTCCGTGGGCTGGCCCCCCAATACCCCCTAAGCTTGTGCTGAAGCACAGAGAACTCAGGTAGCTGACGCTACCTTTCGTGATTTGGGGCTGTCCAAATAATCTCAAGATTCGGTGACCCACCAGGATCCGGCCCCTGCCTGGGCAACTTGCAAGGTGCGGCCAAGGGAGAAGACGTCAGCCTTCAGTCCATTGTAGGCACCTGTCTAACAGTCACCATCAGCGGCTATGGGTCATGGAAGAGTGGACCATAACAAACCAACGGCTGCTTTTGGGTGTACAAACCCACATCGTCGCACATCTTCGGAATTTTGGCTCGGTTGTTAATTCTTGATTTCTTTTCCCATACCCTGCCACTACCGCAACAACGGCAACCTCAGATGAACACTGCCGGGGCATTTCCCCTTGAGCCACCTCCACACTCAACCTCTGGAGCGCGGAATTGTGGTGTCCCACATTTTCCCATCATCTGCTGTTGAGCCTGAGATCAATGGTGTGGACTGAGTGTTTCAATTGGTTGGAACATCGACAGGAAAACGGTGCTTGTTACCGCCAGGTATAAGGTATTCCTGCAGATCTCCACCAACACAATTCGGGGAATGTTGTAAAAAAATATGATATCTAGATGTAGACAGCCTTGCTCCCAAGAAAGTGAAAATCTGGTGTGAGATTATGAGTATGTATGAGTATGGCACCATGGATTTATTCATCCGGGGCTTAATTTACATTGTTGCCCCCCGCTGTTCCCAGTTCCGACTGGCTTACAAGTCTCAAATCTGAGACTCAAAAACACATTATATATATATATATCTTTTAGGATTGGATTTCGGATTTCATGATTTCACTTTTCCATGTCATTGGGGATTGCCAAATGAACATAGATATACCGATATATCCCATGAATCACCAAGCCTCCAACGACCCGCCAAGGCACGTCGGACAGCTGCACTGAGGTCACAAAATCACAGAGCCGAATATCTCCTCCAATCGTCAAAAGTCTGGCACCCGGTACCCCTAAGTCATAGCTGGTTAATGGATGTTTATTTCCCCAAATATGGTAATGACATAATGATAGGCTTGGACCCATCCCCATAGTTGTCAGATATTGTTGGAAATAGGGATGAATCAAAACCTAATGGGACATAATGGGACGCAGTATTGCACCACATATGGGGGACGGACATGAATGGACATACATGTCCCAAAAATTGGAAATCTGGAAGTATCGGAAATTTTGGGGAAACATCGCCTATGCCTATACTCGTACCGGATGACCATTGTGGAAGTACATTTCTATAATATATATATATATAATTATATATATATATGATTATATATGGACGAATGATGCTGAAAAATAACATGATGATCAATGATTTGCATGAAGTGATCTATTTATGTTCATTGTTACTAAATGAATGATGGTGAACCGTGATGAAACAATGAACGATGATGCATGATATATGCATAATATATACAGAATATATACATATGTTTCCTGCTAAACAAACATAAACAAACTATACTACTACAATATACTACAATACATCAACTTCATACTATCATTTTCCCTACAATTACATACAATAACAAATTGCACTAATGGAGGCTGTTAGGCTGTTAGGCAGTCTGAATTCAGATACTGCTAGGCTGCTAGAACTAGAACCCATATCCATTGCGCAGAAATACTCCATGTATTCCATCTACCTCTTGGTTGCATCCCCACAGCTTTCTTTTAAGCTGAGATCAAGGGGCTCCTGTGCCAGAAAGCAAGACATTGTCCGGTTTCAAGTCCAGGTGACAAACCAACTTCGAATGCCTGGGCTGCATTCGGATCCACATGGATCCACTCTGCTGGCATCCGGAAAATCATGGAACATCTGGAAGTGTCCAGTACTGAAGCCAAGGGACAAATACTTCACAGCCTGGCGGAAAACGACTGGCGCTAAGTTCCACAAGTTTCTGAAGTTGGGGTCCAGGATTGGTAAATCGATATCAATATACTCTTCGATAAAAGGCTCCACGTTGGCAGTGGCAAACTTCAGAGAGTTGAAGGAATGTTGAAGGTATATCCGAATGGTGAAGCATACCGTACCCGCTCAAATACGAGTACTTACCACAGGAAAACTGCATATTTTGAGTTGGAGACACGATGAATAATTAATATTAATATCTTCTTGTTTCTACTGTGATGGTGCAGATTACTGGATTAAATGGGTCGGAGCTAGGTCCCGGATCTTATTACGGTAAAAGCACAACCAATGAGAAACTTGCGGAAAACACTCAGGGAAGTAGAAGAATTTTGGACCAGCGCAGCCACAGACAAATGATGACACAACTCAGCGATGCCTCAATCAGTTGAAGAACAACGGTCCGTGCAGTGTTGGGAAATCTCCGAAGCCACGGTTCCATCCGACCACCAGAACATAGCTCAAGGACCGTCCAGAAGTCGGTCCCACTGTCGCAAACACCTCAGAGCGGGTTGCAAGTGCCTCGCTTAGTCTGCAAGACCCTTGAAGGTTACTTCAAATCCTATTGTCACAAGATCTCACGAGATCACTCTCAGTCATCAAGACTGAAGCTGACGAAATCGGGAGACAGTTGCCTCAGAAACAGGTTGAACTTCTTTCACAATCAACGTCAGCAAGCTACCGTGAAGCGTCACAATGTACGGCGACTTGCAGAGTTGAAGCATTTTGACTTCATTGAGGTAGTCTCCGGACTGGTGTACTTCGCATCCCTTCCGAATTCTCTTGCCAGCAAGCGTTAGTCCGGTTCGCCTGCCAGGTGGACGCGAAGTAAAAACACGTAAAATGTGTCGGTTGCAACACTCCTGGGGTCAAAATTTAAGGACTTGGAACACGCGATTTTTATCAATTCTTGTAATGCATACGTATATATATATACACATATAATCATATATTTTATAACCCCATTAAACAATCCCTTTTTGAGACTACTACACGAGTTTACACCCCATCCCAATCCCCCAAGTTTCTCCACCGGCGCGGCCTATGGCGTAACCGGAAAACCGCTGACATTGGTGTCTCCTCAGGGCCACATGAATCAGACATCTCTCCTGTAACAAATGGACAGCATTCCTAAAGGACCCACTTCTCAACCAGTGTTGTTCACTTCATTTCGCAAGGATTCGGTTGAAGTCTATTTTCATATAAGGCTGCCAACCTCTGAATCACCTCCACCTGTAATGTAATGTCCCCATGGTATCCTTGGGTCCCAGCCGGCTTTGCTGATGCCGATAATAACCAGTGCCAGTTCGGATCCCTTCCGTGCCAAGCTGCATCCAACAGATCGAGCAAATCAAAGTCGTCCAGTTGCAGGATTCGCAGCCCGCCACGTGCCACTGCCGGCTCCTGGCGAATGAGAGGTATCATCCAGTAACTCAATCAAAAACAAATCCATCGGGTTTTCAAATCGGTTCCAAAAAAAAAACGAAATACATAGAAACGGATATCCCCATCAAAATCTATAAAATTGTAGGGAATGACATGGTATTTCTTCTGGAAGTTCCATAGTGGTGAAGCTTCAAATTGCGTCAAGTGGTACGTCCTCCTTACCCCGAAGAGATAGCTGTCCCGTGTCCGACCTTAATGGGTCAAAAGGCTGACTGTTTGTTTTGAATCCGGACCAGATAAGCTATGAAATATTAGAAGATAGCTCGACCGAACCCAATTTGATTGACACCTTAGAACATCTAAGCCTCGAAATTGTAGGATGAACTCTACTTACCTTCCGAATGATCACCATCAAAGGGCAAACAAACCGGTAGACTAGACATGGCTCTTCCATCTGTTTCTAAACCTTGGCCTGGCATGAATGGAACAGGCTATGGGGCACCTCGGGACCTCGGCACCTACAGCGTTTGATGCAAACTCGTCCTCTAGAAGCGTGAAGATGAAACCATTCCGCTGAGTTCACATCCCCAACAATCTCCGTAATCTGTCACTAACAATGTGGTAAAATCCAATAAGAGCAACATCTCCAATAGAGGGTTTATATATTATATTTTATTCTGGTTTATTATTGGGTTTACCACATATCCATCATCCCAAGTCAGGAAATTCATCCCACTGCCGAGCTTCCCCGCCTGTGCTTCGGCAGTTCCACAGCTTTGGTGTAGCCTCAACGGGGATCGACAAGGGAGGATTGGCCAACACCTGGGAGTCCAAATGCACGGCCCTAGAGGCATTGTCAATTTCCATATTGATCCATATTGGCCATGAATGGATATGGCCATCATGGGTCAAAGTTGGGTAGCCGACAGAAAATCTACGGTTCCCCAGGTCTTAAGATTTGACACCCATTTCTGGACAAACCAATCAGTGGCCATAAAGTGGCCGAAACTTGGTTATAAGCTGGCCATCTTCAGAACAAACCCATCCACCAGCCCATGTCCATTCACCTGCTTCGGTCAGCTCCTCTTGGACTTTGGGTGTTGTCCGCCAGCTTCCCACGTGGCTGTGCTTGACGCTCTGGACAATCACATCCTGTGTCAACTGGAAATTTAGCACTCTCTGCGTGTATTCAGTTTGCATATATCTCTGGTCTTTTTTTAGCATGGACATGGACCCTTAAAATCGTTGTTTCTACTGGATACATTATCTTCCGAACCCATGTTTCATCATTTTTAGCAGGTTTGATGTTATATACTTTGGAGATCTTTGGAGAAGGGTGCCCCAACTGGTTTTTGCAGTTTGTTCATCCGGAACTACAAATTCCTTCGAAATTGACTCTCTCTTCCCAGCTCGTGGCTCTTGGCTCTTGAATCTATTGCGGTAGGGAAAGCCATGGCTTTCAAATCCGAACGCCTGGGACACAGGCTGCAAGCGGTGTGCAGCTCCGCAGCCCATGCGAGCAGTGAGGCAATGATTGTTACATTGGAGAATGCATAGCGGAAAAAAACTTGTGATCCCGTGATGGTTTCTGCTATCAAATCCCATTGGAGGTTTACTACTTCTGCGAAGCAAAGACCTAAACTGCTTAACATTTTGTTGAACCAGCTCTTCCAAGTTCCACATCTGGATCATCTTGACTTTTGACAGGGTGTTCTGGCTGTCTCTTGGAGGTTCGGACATCTGCCCGAGGCGCAATGAGGTGAAACCAAGCTGACCGCGGTGATCCAAAGTAGCCGGTGACGAAGGGGTGCTGACCCAAGCGGCAGAATCTCCATATCCCGGTCATGGATCAGAACACATAATGTGAAATTACATTTTAACATATTTTAATTTTAACTATATAAAATAAATACATTATCATATGTTTAATTATTGAATGTTAGAATGATCGATCTTCACTATCAACGATAGGTGCGAGACCATCATCACTGATCATCATCAAAGGAGGACATGATAGGACATGATATTCATTGATACTCACAGCAACATGCACAGAACGGCCTAGCACCACTCCTTTTAATGAGTTCCGGGCGAGCGCCTGCCTGCACGTGTCCAGTGACACCGCCATCCACTTGAGTTTGATCTTATGAGAGGATCTTCGGTTCAAATGAAGCGTCTTGGTCTTGGTTTGTCTGGATTTGGGGTGCATTTGTGGAACCTCAGTATTAAAAAAAACACTTCGTTGGGGAATTGTCAGATCTGGGATTGAAGACTACCAGAGTTGCCCTACAGCATCTGCAAGCTGGAGGTGAAAGCTAAAACATTCTACCCTCTGGTAAACTAACATAGCTATTGAAAATTGCTATTTATAGTGAGTTTTCCCATTAAAAATGGTGATTTTCCATAGCTATGTTAGTTTACCAGAGGGTACAATACATGTTCAATATTTTGAGCACATCCAAACTCAACTGACGAGGGAAGAAGCCTGCTGAGCACCAGCTGTACAGGATGCAGGGGCACAAGCTGGCCACGTCCCCGGCATGGCGTTTCTGGCACCATGAAATCTCTGGAAACCCAAAATTCCTAGAGCCGCGGTTGCGAATTGCTCTGCATCGGAGCCAGAATTCCAGACTCAGCTGATCTCAACAATTCTGCGGCTCCAATGAGTTTCAACACTTTGACTAAACACATTTATGAAACATTTTATTAATAGGTGTTCATCATTGTTCATCTTCAAACCACTATGGGTTCAATGTGTTCACTTAGACATTTAGGACCTGGTGACCAGCTCCACAGCTCCGTCGGGGCTACTGCAGCACGCAATTGGACCCGCCGTGCTCTGGGACCTGGTCACTTCGGGAATCTCATGGTGAATGCCAGCATTCGCAACGTGAGTAGAAAAATAAAATTAGCATCCGAAAACATTGTCAAATACAAAGATACCTTACGTATGTATGCTGTCTATATATGTATAATAATATGTATATATATAGTGATATATAGTGTATATATTATAAACATGTATTATATACTGATTACTGTATGGGGTTGTCCAGAACTGAGTACCTAAAAAAGATGCTTTTATTGGGAGAATGATGATAATCCTTCGATAATTGGGGTACCCAATCTTCACAGAAAACAGGTTGTCGACAGCTGGGGACCCCTGCTGAGATAACGGGCTGCCGGAAATGAACCCTGCCATTCGCCGTCTGGTCGTTCATCTTTGAAGCTGTAGCAATGAGCAGCAAAGCCAATATACGATCAAACTCTGATCATACAATAAACGTTATTAACTGACTATAATTATACAGTAACCGTAACCGTAATCCCAAAAAATATAAAAAATGATAAAACAGCTTTACCGTGATCTTTCTTGTAGATTTTATCTTTCTTGCGGGGCTACAAAACATGCCAGGGCCGGCCCATCCTCTCGGAACCGCCGCAAGCGAAGCTCAGTGTCCTGGCTCCCCCAAATGGTTGTTGAAATGGTAAGAATATGTAGGAATTGTGATAAACCCATGGGACTTTTGGGGATACCTATTTCATCCTATTTCCAGGCAAAGCCATGTTTAATTCAGAACCAACCCATCTCAGATATCCAGTCCTAGGTTTAAAAGACAAATCCAGATTTCCAGTCCATCTATTCTACAGAGTTCCAAAAAGATGCCTCGTGCGAGCGACCATTTTGAAGGAGTTTGCTGACGGACAGCCCCACAATCTGCAACCGTCACCATCCGTCACCATCCGTCACCATCCGTCACCATCCGTCACCATCCGTCACCATCCGTCACCTCTCGTCCCGTCTGCACCATGTGCGGATGCTCCTGCAAGAAATGGTGGCATGGGAACTAAAAAGGTGATCCCCTGAAGGTCATGGAAGAGGTCCAAGATTGGTTACCCGTACAGGAAGACCAAAAACTCTGGTCTGCACGGCCATTTTGACATTCTTGACCCGCCCCAAAGATCTGTGAGATCAGATTGTGAACCATGACATGTCATAACATGATACAGGGCTCTTCATCCCCCGACCCCGACAGCAAGGGACAGCGCGCCAGGGAATTAGAGATGCCCGTTTTGGCGATGGCCAGTGTGCTGAGTGGTGCTAAAATTTAGCCGTATTTTAAGTTCCCTTTCTATGTGGTTTCAGAAGATAAGTCTTCCAGCAACCAGAACAACGCGGGAACAGTACATCTATGCCCGTTACCTTTCATAATATGGCTATGGTTGATATTCATTTACCTGTAACCCAAATTGGAACATCAAATATCATCACACCAAAGAAATACTAAAAATCTGACTAAATGTATCACTGAGTTTCACTAAGTTAAGTATCAAACCAACATGTGCGGGTTCCCTGGGTATGAAACTTTGATCCTGAGCCGTCCAATTCATCACATCGTGTGCCTTCATGTACTGCTGCAGTTGCGCCAAGGCTGCACGCGTCGTGGCCGACGCCTGCCCCGAAATGGCTCGTTTCGCCCTCAAAAGGGGCTACCTGTGGAGTCTTCCACAAAACCAATTCTGTGTCACCGGCCTGTGAATGCATCTCATCGCTAGAAATGAGATTTCGGATGTCTTTCGGCTGGACATCCTTAATGAAATCCACACATGATAGAACGTACTGGACATGGAGAAACTGAGCAGAAAATCGAGCTCAGGACAACATTTCTCCACATCATCAGGGTGCGCACCACGTGCTCAATATAATCCTGCACTCGTCCAGAAGCAAATCCCCGAAACTAGTTAACATTGAAAATAATCTATAAATTGGGACTCTCCATTTCCATGTTTGATTGCCAGAGGGTATGTACTGTAAAGTGTGTTTGCAAATAGCGGTTTTGGAATTGATGCACGTCACAAAGGCATTATGAATGGCGAAAACTATGATGAACCATGGTGGGCGTTGCCAAATTTTGAGATTCACTACTATGAAGAGCTTCAACGTTGTGAAGAGAGTTCCGATGGAAGGACTGAAATTCATTCTGTCTGGCCCGCTCGTCAAGGTTCCATAATGGATTTTTCTGACCTTTGAGGCCCCTTCCTGCACCCTGCAACCCCAACTAGCTATGTCAGGCCTTCATGATGACTGCAAGTGTGATGATCACCGAGCAGCTGTCGGAATGGGTACCTTGCCATCGCCCTGTTTGTCGAGGTTTCCAACTTCTCAACACCATGTGAACATCTCGGTACGTCTGAATGGGGCGTAGCGCCATCTAATTCGGAACATAATGATAATAATCTAATCATCTAGTCATCAAGCAAAAAATCTAAAGATTCAAACAGCATAACTGACATTTTTCGAATGTTTCCAGGATCTGCGTGCTAAGATGTGCTAAGCACCCAGCTGCTCAGAAGGAAAAGGATACCGATGAGCCAAATTCCCCAGCCCAACATCCTGCAACTGGATCATAGGATGGCTGAAAAGTCCCGGGCACGTGGTTACATGGAGAAATCACTACCCATGGACCCACACAATTTGCACCTTTTTTATCTTTTTTTTGGTATCTGTTGGGAATTGTTCCCATTGGAAAATTCACAAAATAGCTTATTGGATCATTTTGGATCCACTGGGAGGTTCAGAAATTTGACCTCTACCCAAATCAGTTGAGGACATCCAAAACATCATCTTCGGAACATCTTGAGGTGCCACGAAATTGCTGTCAAGCTGGAATCTGGATGAGTCACTAGCTATGGGATCCTATGGGGCCATCAGGATTTCATGTTCCTCAGTTCCCCTGCCTTTGTGCAAAGGGCACGGGCGGCAAGAGATCGACCCTCCGCCCATCCACTCCGATGAAGAAGTCAACTTCACCTGTCTAAAAATGGGGTGCCAATGGATCCACAGTTGGCTGGTGAAATTTGGCGATGTCCATGCTATGTATTTCCATCCTTTTTAGGGGGTCACGAAAATTGAGATCCAGTGGTCCAGGTTCAGCTCCAAATTCACATGCACGTGAAGGTGGTCCAAAATGGTGTAGAGGTGCAGCCGGCTTTAATGATGTCCAAGGTGTACCAAGCTACAGCCTGTTAGAAACTGGCCAAACCTCCACCAAACCTCAGCAATGAAGCCTTTAAAATATCTTTTGATCGTGTTTTAAACGGCAGAGATTTTCTAGGCACTTGTCAATCTTCAATCCTTAGAATCCAAGGAGATATGGAAGTCATATCATATCTGTCCCATCTCCACAAAATGGACCCGTGGAAGGCATCCGGGCGACCTTCCGGCTCTGGCAGGGCAGCAAAGTAGCGCACACTAAGCTTGGCACCTTGGTCCCCCATAAAGATCGACGTTGGCAAAACAACCAAAATGTTGATAAATCACGTGTCTATCTTTTCGGGGTGTTGCTAGATATTTATGTGTATATTTTTGTTTTATCCACCAGAAATGCTCTAATTACAGGGGGTTCCTGTAGCTTGACGCTAAACCCCAATTCTGAGAGAATTGAGCAAACCTCCAGAAATGTTTGGAAAAGTCGTTGGGGATTATCAGTTTAGATCATTTTAGGCAGGCCAAAAACACATCAATGAAAGTCAATCGGGATCGTACTTTAAGGTTGCAACATATTAGATATGTGAAACCGACCAGTTCATGACTAATACAACAACTTTCCACAATATGAGATGATGGTTATGTAAGTGTATGGTGGTATGACTGCCAGCCAAAAAAATATGTGATGACTCTTGCGACCATGGCAAAGAGCCGGTCACATATTGGCTCTGAAAAAAGGCTGTACCCCGGATGTATGAGAACTTTTCATAGAGAAAATATGAGCGATTGTGAAAGCCCTAGGTTCACGGAAAGGACATCCACAAATTTGGGAAGGTCCCATCGCTTACCACACGTTTGTACAATAATGATATATGGTAAACTTGGGGGGTATCGCTTGCAGGAAACTGCTGCATTTATATATACGTATATATATGTGATGAACTATGAATAATATGTGATATTTGGGTATCGCTAATGTGGATATTAGAGAAATATGATGACATAACCTTGAAAAGGGGTATCGCTAATTTGGGAAGGTCCCATCGCTTACCTCGTGTTTTTAACAAGTTCCATCAATTTCCATAAACCAATGTCCGTCGAATACATATTTAGTATTGCCAGGGTTTTTACGGTTGCTCATATGGGAAAATGATGATTGACCAGGCAGATTTACGTAGTTGCCCAGTAAATATATGTAAATATCTTGTATTTTCAGGTGCCAAAGCCATTTTACCGTCGTAGCAAGATGTAGCAAGGCACCGAGGTGCACCAGCACCAAGCAGCTGATCAGCAGCACTAGGAAGGCTAGCCATCCTGGCAACGGTGGAATGGATGGATTTTGTGGGGGAAATCTACCTGAAATCTACCTGAAACCATGGTGAAACCATGATTACAAATGCTTCACAAAGCCTCACATGTATCCAAATGATTCCAAATGTAGGGGGTTCAACCATGCATTTCCCCATCCTGGCCCTCACCAACCTGCCTATCGGCAGATCAAAGATGGGATCCTTCAGACCTGTGGATCATCCGTTTGGATATCGTGAAAATGGGCTGCTTTTCATCTATTGAATATCTTGAAGCAAACATTAAGCATGCTCAAACATATGTTAATATATTATGAATATATCAACTATCCTGCGGTCACTTCTAGAACAACAGTCCTTGGATGTCGTGCGAAAAGCCAAGCTTGGATGCGAGCTCAGCTCAGAGCAACCAAAGTACCCAGGCCCCCGCACTAAGCCACGAGTGCCAATTCGGTGCCTGGGTCGGTGGGTGTCAGTTCCAAGCCCACACAAGTGATCACTGTTTAGTATGTTTCAAGCTTATCACAATGTATAACCATCTCCAATGTATTCACCTTCGCAGATGAAGGGATAAAGTGATCTGAGTAAGTATATATATATATATATATTAATTATATATAATTACTGTATATGTATGGGGGTAGTTCAGCCATTCGAGCATCCCATTTTGAGGATGTTTCTGAGGCAGTCACCGGAAGCCATCTCAAAGTCCACGACAGTACAGCCTGAAGCCGCCCCAGTGGAGCCAGAGCCAAATGTCAAGGCATAGTTCAGGTTCCTCCTGAGTAATGGATGTCATATTTATTGAGGATCATTGAGGATCATTGAGGATATATTTCTTTAGGCATATTTCAGGTTCCTACTGCTTGTGATGTAGTGATGTCCTATTTCAGGTACTTAAACATATCCTCACTTGGAGGTAACTGGAAACTGATTTAGCAAAACGACCTGCCAAAGTTGGATATGCTGTTTCCTATACGAGGCCGTACACATCCAAAATTGAGTCCAATCATTTTGGGACATGCCCAAACGTCTTAGGCCAACGTTTGTTCAACCCCTAGAAATCCCATAGATGTTGCATGATGTTGGTCATCTTTAGTAATCCATCCCCATTTCCAACATTTCTAGCTACCCAAGTTCGCACCACGCCGCTATGACCAGCTTGGTTTCCGCACATTTCGGGCCGCTGGTATCAATGCAAATGCCGCAGCCAGCAAGGTCGTCAACTCAGAGAACCCAAGTATCACCAACAGGTGACAAGTCAACTGCAGCCATAGGAGTTGAATATGAACAAAAATATAACAGATGAAATATGATGAAATTAGATGAACATAGCAAACACATATGCAACCAATTCAAGTCCACCCCCAACATTGTTTCTGAACATGTTTCGGCCGTGAGCCGTTCATGGCGCTTCGCAGTTTTGGGGCATCAATGATGCATCCTCCTCGGAGGAGAAAAAAATAAGGTCCATTTTTTCAGACCTGACTGTGACTGTCGGGTATTGCAATCAAATGAATCTGGATAGGAAGTCTGGGGGTCTCGAAACTGAGGACAAGGTTTGGGCAAAAATCTTGAATTTGACCTGCACTAGATTGTCATCCGCAGCAGTTCTTGCCTCTCTGAGTTTTGGATCGGGGACCCATATTTGATCATATTTGATCCTTAGGATTCCTTTGGTATCTGTGTGCTCAGGAATATTGTTGGCAGCTGCTAAGCAATACTCCCTTTCTGTACTGTCTCTCAGCCACCATCAGCAACAAACAGGACACCAGTGGTGTTCTGGGTCTCCCTGCCGAACGACCAAACGGTACGTTGCCATGAAGGGTGCCCCGCACACTTCGGGACAGCCACAAAACCACCTCATCCACAAGACAAATGCCAGGATCATCCCTCAAGTCAATGGAATCGGGTTGATCAGCTGGACTGAGTTTCGTGAGTTTTTTCTGCGATTCGCGAAAAACCTGATATATGTTTCTGGGATATACATTGTAAAATATACCGACATACCCGCACTTTCTGAGCATTTCGTCCCCGATCATCTCAACAGCTGGAAAGTGTGACGACCACTGACGAACTAAGACCCTGACCATAAAAGCGATGACAATCAAGGAGCCCAATCCTGGATCTACCAGGCTACTGGTCCATTGGGTTACCCCCAAATTTTCATTCAACATCTGGGGCTTGAGGGTCCCGTGTCTGCCCATGCCCGAATCTCTGCTGCCGTCCTCCCAAGCCAGCGTGAAAAGTCACACTCTCACGGAGGGGCTTCCAACCAATGACCTGGTCGTGTCGACGGCGGTGTCAGCAGGCTTGAGCCCATCCACGTCCCATGGTCGTCCCATGATCAATCGGGATTCCATGGTTTCATCCGCAACAAACATGGAAAGCTGGGAAAAAGATGGAACAATGATGGAAAAATGAAAGCACCTACCATCACCCACTAAATCTGAATGGTTCGACGGATGGGTCAATCTCAACTGAGGACTGGACAAAGATCATCCCGATTAGCAGGAAAAGGAAGACTGACAAGTCAAAGTGCCTTAGCGCTGGCCATGATCTGAAATGTCTGAAATGATTATGGGAAATTCATCAATGGCTATGTTTTTTTAATGGTGATTCAACCAAGAATTGGGAAACCAACCTTAATGGGGATACAACGTCATGAAACGTCCCAAACTTGGAAACCCCTCACCTTTTTTTGTGAAGCCTTTGATTTATGGGTCAGAGGAATTCCTCTAGAAATGGGCTGGTTGGTAGTTGAACTGGCCAAACTCTGTGGCCCGTACCCCTTGGTTCGTTGGTTCGTTGGTTTGTTGCTCGACTCTGAGACCAGGACATGTACCACGACGCATGCGCGGTGTGGACACCAGGAGGCAACTGCGGTGGCATAAGCATGATATGAACATTCCAGGATACTGCATGATACATTATGATCCCAAATACTACGTGATATTGCATATGGTATTTCATTATACTACACGATATTACATTCGAAATCACATTGCACTACCTAATACTACTAAAATCTACTAAAGCTGACATGGTATTCCATGATGCTACGAGTACACTGAGTACATCATGATATGATTCATTTCCGTTGCCCCCAGTAGCCGTGGCGCCTGGTTAATGTAGACACATCCCCCAGCTGAAGGGATGGGAACTGCCAAGTGGTCGGCCTCACCAAACTTGGGATCTTCGTTGGGCAGGTGGCCAAACTGCTCGCTACAACATGCGGTCCTTGCTGGTTGTCCTCTTTTTTGTTAAGCACGGGAACTCGGAACATGTTGTCAACCTGGGCGCTATTTTTTTAACCTGCGAAGCCGACAGGCTTTTGCAAGAATAGAAACCCAAATATCGTTACCGACAGAATTATGGAATAGGATGTTACAACTATATCCCATGAATATTCCATTCATATCCCACTAACATCCCATTGATCAATATCAATATACATTGAACGATCCTAATTGATATTAACATCATATATCATCACATTAACATCATACTAACTATGGGAGTTCCGCATTTTCAGACATCATATTCACAGCCGTTTTTTCCAAACCCGTGGCCCACTGAGCTTCCGGGCCCACTGAATCGCTTTCACGCTACATCTCTTGGTACAGTCCCTGCACACTCCCGGGAAGACGGTCGCTAGCCTGGGATGTCGAGTCGCGGCATGAGGGTGGTTGAAAAATGCTTCTGAAAGAAACAGCTGTGATAACTACATGTGTTTATATATATATGTTTAAGTTGGGGAAAACTGAGAATGTGATAGTACATTCTTGTAAAACATATTATTAAAATGCTGAATATATATATATATATATCGTTCAAAAGAATCAGTTGCTCAACGGAATGGCCATCCTGGAAGAGAGGAAACTCTGGAAGATGGATAAGAAACAAGCGAAGCACCAGCCAGATTTGATAGTCTCATTGCGGTCCAACCAGAAGGTTCAACCTCACTGACCCCTCTGTTTTTGGCACATTCCTTTACACCTTGAGGCATTTCAACTATCCCGCAGGCCTTTCAAATCTATCCTCTCCCTGCGATGTCACCAAGGAACAGACACAGCCGGCCTTACGTCAAGCCAAGCAGCCAGGGATAACCAAGGCTACAAAGCCATCTCGGGGGACCCTTCTTGACCTTCGGCCCATGGTTGAACTGGTTGAACCCAGGTTTACTTCCCGTTAACACTGGTTCTTTCCATCCCAATCGGCTTCTCCTCCCTATGGCTTCGCTAAAAGCATGTCAAAAACATGGGGCCCAAAATGGATCAACATGGCATAATTATTTAATAATAGAACAATTGATGATCAACCGCTAGATGATTTTGGGGTACCCGGTCCCCTATTTTCAGACAAACCCGAATAGTATACATGCCTCAATTCAAACGTGCCTCAAATTGTATGAAAATCATCTAACATGGCACCCTGTTAGTGTTGTGGTATTTTTCAAAGGCCGCCTTTCCCTATTCAAAGGGATACTCTTCAGCTTTGCACAGGTCAGAGGCAGCTTGGCTACGAACAAGCAACAACATGCACTGAGGTAGCCCAAAATGGAAAATATTGGTAATATTTTTAATATATATATATATAATAAAGTAGCTTTTCATATTTTTTTGGGGGGACATTTTTTTGCTTCCAATACTACTTTCAGAAAGGGGCACGGTACCCTTCTGCTCAACGACCTCGTCCCACGCCCACAACACAGAACAAATATGTTTTCACAAAACAAAATGATTTTATTAAAATCTGTTTTGGCCCAATTCCACCAATTTCAAAATATCGTAAAAAAGATAAATGAAAATCATTTAGCAACAGAAACTCTGATTAGCACCCCTTTGAATAGATCCCCAGAGATGGAGAAAGAATTTTCTGTTGGGAAAGTGATGCTAATTGATGTTCCATTTCACCAATGCAGGCAACATCATGCAACTATCATGTTGCATAAAACTACTCTTTCACCAAACATGGCAAATTGCAGATTGCATCTTGAACCGGCTTACCAACTTCCATGGTAAAGTCATTTAAGTCCTTAAGTGTGACATCCCAGCCGTTGCTGACCTCGATGTGCAGCCGCGATTTTGGGCCCTCAGTGGCGCTGAGAGCTGGCCGAGCACAACTGGTTGTACCCAGTTTTTGGGATGACTACAGTACCCTATTTGGCGGTGTCGTATTTCTATCATCACATATCATCACTAGTAATCATTTATCAATCCATCTATGGTTTCTATGCCAATACCCATTCCGAAGTGGGGCATCCAGTTCGAAATCATACCATCCCCTACCCATGTGGCTTCAAGCAAGGCCTGGTAAACTTCATTGAGCCGGACAACCAGACTGGGAGTCCAGCTACTGTGGAAATCCAATTGAAGATGGATTTGGTTTCTTGCTTGTCAAACTTCAACAGCAAGTATACCTGTACAAATGCGGTCATTTGAGCTGCAGCTAATGAGCTGCCGAACCACAACGTGCATCAGAACTCCAAACTGCTCAATTGTGCGTCCTTATTCCTTGGTCTAGTTGCGAATCAAAAATGGGATACCAATGGTGCCACAAGTCTGGAAATGCTTGGGTACTAATCCATCCGATTTCTGGCTCACTTTGGGTGTGAAAATGGTAGACCTTCTAAATGGCCATCTAGTAGGGAAAATGATGAACCATCAATTTTGGGAGTACAAAATGTATAATTAACTTAATTAACCATCAAATGATCATTAACCATCAAATAACTAAACATGATTTTCAGACAAACTCACTTTGAGCCAACCACCGCCTGCATCACAGGCCAAGCCTCGGTAGCGTGGGTGGATCACTGGTTCCAAGTTGGATGGGAACAAGACCCGGTGCCCTACAATTCCGGAAAAAAATGTAAGGATCGAATATGGGGTGATCCTATGAATCTATCAGGAAGAAACATCTGTAATTATGTACATAAATATATATATATAATAATTATGTATTATTATTATTATTGTTGATTGTATATATATATATATGTGTGTATAACCATGCAAATACCCATCAAATATATGACCATTCGAATATCTGCAATACATGGGCGGGGAGAAAACAACTTGCGACCATTCTCAAACAACCATGGCCATCTTGATGGACAATCCGACAATCCGTACTAGGACCTTTAGACAAACTTTGTATATATATATATGATCATATATATGATCATTATATATTGTTATAGATCTGTAATTAGATAAATAATGATCATATATATATAATAATAATCATCATCATATAATATTACATATATATATAAGTATATATGATTAAATTATATATATATATATATCTTTATGTATCTGGCTAGATCACAATGATTCACCCACCTGAAATAATTCGGGTTGGAATCTGTTCCCGTCACCATTCTAGTCCCAGCTGCATAGTATGGGGGCTGCTCAAACTTCCGCAAGCACAGCGGTGCAGGATGCTGCGTGGTCACCTGAGGGTACCCCAGGGGATTTCAAGGATCCTTCAGGGTAGTTCATAGTAGATATATGGGGGGGGGTCCTTAAATGCGGATACCTCAAAATTGATGGTTTATAATGGAAAAACCTACTAAAATGATCTTTTAGGAACCCCCCCACCAGATTCTGATTTATTGGGGGAAAGGGATAGGATTCAACATGTTCCCAGTGAAACGCCATGTATATAGATCCAGATGTCATATCAAATCAGAATCCCATCACATCAAACGATATGGAGGTTTCCAAAAATGGGGGGTACCCCAAATATTATGATTTTGGGGATCCCCCATTCCAAGAAACACCCATATCAAGACATACCTGGCACCACAAGTGATGAGCCGCTGAAGTTTTCCGGGCCATCGGGCTGGGATGACTTCTCGCTCACCATGTGCGCTGTGGAACTCGATGGTTGAGTCCTCAATGGAGGATACAATGGCAGCAACCACTGCCACCACCCAGATTAATGCGGCAAAGCCAATAGCAAACAATCACTAAATTTACCAGACATGGGTGGTATAAAGCGTCCCCCAACTGAGGGTCTATCATTACCACATTGCATCTGGCTCAGATTGGACCATCAGTTTTGTTTTCATGGTTTTTCATGGTTTTTCATGGTTTTTCATGGTTTTTGTACAACACGTCCAGCTGCAACAGATGAGCTGACTGCCATTCATCCCTGTTGGGTTTGGCTGAAGATCATCCCCCCATGTTTGAACAAGCCCGTGGCTGAATGCCAAATGGTAAGCTCCAAACCGCCAAGCTATGCACGAAGCAAGCCCTGGCGAGGAGCAACACGATCCAAGAAATCTCCTGTGACTATAGCTCAAAAATGTGATTCATGCGAAAGGAACCACAAAGTTCTTTTTGTTTCAGTATGCGTTGAATCATCCCAAATGTGGGTCAAACATTCTTTGAGCCATACCCACTTGCAAGTGGAACCATCACTGAGACTGCCCCTTCACTGCTGATTAGCTTGGAAGCTGACGCAAGAACGGCAGCACGGAGCATGGTGGCTTTGTTTTGCACAAAACTCCAAATCGCTCCGTTCGGAAGTTACTTACCTGGTTGGATTGCACAATATAGCATCAGTCTGCGCGAGAGTCTTCCACTTATCAGCTTAAACGGGAAATCTTCAAATGTGCAAGTCACTTACATGAAATCTGTTGATCTTGCTGCAATCTTGTGTAGATGGCTATAGCTTTGGGTCTTGCAAGCCGAAAAGCAAACATTGGCACTGCGCAATGCTTGGAGTGAACCTCCGCATTGTGAATGTGGGTTTCATTCAATCCGTCCCCTGGTGAACACCATCTAGTTTCGCAAGGTCTGCTGGGTAGTACCACGTGCCAAACGCAATTTGCATGCACTTTTGCGCAGAGGCACTTGTGTCCACCGGGTGCGGGCACCGACTGCTCTGGTCGACCATGTGGGAGCATATAATTTGTTTTGTAAGCACCATAAATACATCAATATGCAATGTTTTCAGAATTGGCAGCCATCCATATTCAAAAATCTGCTGCAAGTCTGAAGTCGAGCAGCAGCAGTGACATCCATGGACTAATGGCGGGATTTTCGAGCATGACTTGGTGGCATTTGCCCGGCAAGTCGAAAACGGTGAGACCAACTCGTCCAACCACATGGACTAAACAGGTGAAACGATGTCACCAACCATTTGCCACAGGCAGGGATTCTTCACCGACCCCACAGCTTTTCGAACTGCATGGTTTCCTTCGCCTCCTCTAAACTTTGCAGTTCTTGCCGAGTTTTCTCGACCTCGAGCTTGCAGCAAAAAGTCAACTACAGAAGTCCAACAGGTGTTGGTGGGCTGTGGGTCATGATATTCGTCATGAGTCAGATGTCAAGTTAGACAATTAGACAACGCTATTGGATTACCTATTGCTTTATTATGGTTTATCTATTGGTTGTTTCTTGGCTCTTGGATTTCTTGGGTCTTTGAGGTTTCACCAAGCCGACCAGGAACCTCATCTCTCAAGCTGCCATTCAAGGCTTTGAGGGCAGCCTGGCAGCATGGGCATCTGATTTTTCTGTAGAACATGGTGGAAACTCTGTGAATACGAAGACTGGAAACGGCCTGTGAAAAAAAACATGCTGTCTATATATATATATATGTTTACAGAATCCTTCTATTGAATCTATATGTATGGTTCGTATTGCATAAACATCCCTATCAACAGCAAGAAACGCAAACCAAGTGCGAAAAAAGAACAATGTCAAAAACATATTGCAAAATCTCCAAGATATAATGACTAATTGTCATAGGAGAAAATCCTGCTCATGGATTTAATAATCCCATATGATCATCAACACATCATCCCAGTTGGAATGTGAGCCAACGATCAATGCTGAAACGGTGAGACATCACCTTATGATATATCATTCATATCCGTTTATATATGTATCTAGTCCCCATTTTCAAACACCCCATATATATATACATATATATATATACATATATATATATACACCCTATGGTAATTTCACATAGCTATGGACAATCACCATTGTTAGTAGGTAAATCATCGAACTCACTGGGCCATCGACCCCATCGAAAAACCATAGCTATGTAGCAAAATATATATCCTATCCCAATAGATGGTGTCCCAATCATACTGTTGGTGATATATCCCATGAATTCCCATGATACAAAAAAACCACGATACATTCCCAATCAGATCCCACGATACATTCCCAGGTTCATGATAAAGTCATCAGAAATATCAATATGTTTATACATCCATGATATTCCCAATCATATCCCATTAGTATCGCATTACCCCGGGGTTAAACCTTTAACGTTTACCATAGATGCAGGAAACCCATGGTTTCCCGCTCCGACATCATGACTTAGTGCCTTGGACTTCAACAGCTTGACCTGAGCAGAAACTTGGGGAACCTGTCGGGAAAAAATTGATAAGTGGAAAGTTGGAAAAGAAAACAATAATATATACTATATATATATCATATATAACATATCAATATACATAAATATATATATGTATCATTATTATTATTATGTAGTTCTGTCTAAAAGGCTTAAAAGGTGGAGTTTCCGTTACCAGATTTCCAGAGGCTTTCAGTGGCTCTCTCAACAAAAGCCACTTTCCGTTGCCGGGCGGCTGATTGGGCTAGTCGGCAGGATTCCACCTCCTGCGGGCAGCTGCAGACTTGTCGGAACAATGCCCCAGCACCAAAAACCTCCCATAAATCGTCCAAAATCACGCTTATCGTATCTTATCGTTTCATATTCAAGGTTTGATTTGAACATGGGAATGGCTCAAAAAAGGGGTGCCTCTGAACCCACTAAATTGCTCGTAGTTTGTATTAGACCAGCCATTTCCTGGGTCTCGATAAATTTTGATGGAGGGATAACCAAAAAGATCTGAATTGGCAATTTCACAGGGCGGCCAGCAGATGGGGTGTCACTTTTGTGCTTGACTCTGAATTCAAGTTCAATCTACATGTCATGGTTGCATGTGTTTTATAGTTGCGCTAGTTCAAGGTGGAACAAAAATGTGATATTTTCGTATAAACATCAATAAACCATGACATAAACATGATAGAATGATAAACAACGATTTCACCAATGGTTTTCGCGTGTTGTTTTACCCCCCTAGGTCATCACGGGTCACTCTGCAGGGCTCCTGGATCATCTGCTTACACAGCTGCGTCTGCTGCCGCCTTGACTGGTTGGAGGATAAAATATTTGAGGCCCCTCCTGTTTGATGGTGCTGTTTGGTGTAAACATTACTGTAAACATGTGTAAACCAGAGTTTCGTGTAATATGTGTAATTGGTCAATTGACATAATTCCATGATATTCCATTGATGGGAATCTAGTTGCATAGGGGTTGAATCGTTGGGGTCCTGGAAAAATCAGTAGAACTTGAGTCTTAAGGGTTGGTGAACAAAAGCTAAGCAAGCAGACAAGACATAAAGCCCGGTGGAGTGACATAGGTGGAGCGAGTTGGGAAGGTGGCGTGAGCTACTGGTAGGCGGAACGAATTGGGTAGAGGGAACTAAGCCCAAGACCATCCAATCCCAGGACCCTTCCCAAAAGCTCTGAGAATTTGGGGAGTGTAGGTCACATGAAAAATCGTCCCCACATCCGTGGCTAAAGCAAGAAGCAACTCCATCTAGCTACTACAAACGGATGAACAGTGACCCGGTGACCCAGTGACCCAGTGAGTGTGTGTGTGTATGTGTGTATGTTTGTGTGTTTGTGTGTTTGTGTGTTTGTGTGTTTGTGTCTGTGTGTGCAAGTTGAGTATGGAGCTGCTGCAAACTCCAACAATGTGGATATCAATCAAGCAAAAGTGCTCAACTTGAATTTGAATCAGCAAAGTTACATCCTCAACTGTTCGGAAATCCAACACCACATTGCTGGTACTGTTACATCCCATGTATCCACAATCCCTGGTTTTTGTATTTGTAATTTCTACCCCCTTGTTGTTGTTATCCCATGGAAACATCACCATGTTTTGGAAGGTCATGCCAGCATCCTGCCAAGACACACCAGGGCACTCTCGATCAAGGTATGGCGAACCTTTTGCCTCGCTGACCAAGGTGGCTGAAGGGGATCCCGTGCTGCAAGATAGGGAGTTCACACTTTTGACTAGGATATAGACATATATAAGACTTACGTGTGTATCTACATATATATAGAGAGAGAGAGACTACATATATAGATAGATCATTGTCTTGTTAAATAATCTAAGTAATTAAGAATGAGATTGGGTATGATTAATCACATGATCATATAATATATAATATTAATTAATATGATATGAATCCATATGATATGATATGTTTTGGGCCAAACCCCAGTTCCGGCTTGCCGTTTGCACCAGCACCATCCTGAGGCCCCCGAGCCCTGTCTGAATGGTGTCATCCGTAGATGCATACAGCTTGCCATGAAGCTGGCGCAAGGCGGTGCAAGGCTTTCCATCTAAGTCATCACCGCAGCTGCATGTTTCAAGAAAATGGTCCAGAGGGGCCACGGAAAAAAAATAGGGAAACCCAACCAAAAGCCTAGAAAAGTGGGGATGGTTTATACCATTCATCTCTGGCGAAATTGGGGATGATTTCGTATGTGGCTTTAGTTACCACGACATGAGCTGAAGTTGAAAGTTTTACCCCTCTGCCTCGCGAACTCGAGGTGCTTTGCCCTTCTTTGGTTTGCTTGATCCTTCCTGGTGGTGTGAATTCAGATGGTATGTTGCAGTGCAGGGTCTGGATGACCAAAGGTGAGGAAAGGTCTGTGCGCCTGTATTGAAAGTTTGCTACTGGGAATACGATCTCTGGATCTTTGAATAAAAATCTTTGTATTGAACAACAAATCATGTAGGCTACAAGAGGTGTCACGCTTCAAGTGTGACAAGGAGCAACCGAACCAGGATTTTCTCCTGAAAGTCTTTCCACCACATCTGTGAAACCCAATTGGGAAGTACTACATCTTCATTTGAAAACCCTGACATGGAGAAATAATGAGAAATGCCAGCAAGGTCATCTGGGAATGGGTCAAACTAAGGCCAAGGAAACTGGAACCACGAATTTTACCCACGTTCTTCGTCATCCTTCTTTGCGAACCATGACCCGTTTTCTTGATCCGAACCCATACACTTTGATTAGTGCGGACAGGCCTGCCGCTGGCGATCTCTAACCTGCGCGAACAGCTCAGAACATGATTTTCTTTGGTCTTGATGTATCTCATCATTGATCTCAGCTAGGGGTCTAGCACAAATGATCACAACGGGATGTGTGTTCAACCTGGTGACACCTGAATCGGACCTTTTCTGGAGACCCCACAACACCCATAGATGGAGAAGGCAAGCTGCATTCCGTCGTGCCTCCGGAGGTCCGGACCTGGCAACTCCCCAAAAAAATATCCGGAAAAAGTGATATGCCCATCTGTGGCAAAAGGCCACAATGAATCTCCATGAGAGACCATCTGGGTGTGTCCAGAGATAGCGGAGGGATTGTAGTAAGGATGGTTTCACCCCAGACAACAAGAAATGCGCAAACCAAAAAGTGGGCTTGCCATGGCTTACCAACAGAAATGCTGGATTTTAGCGGTCCCAGATCTTTGGGGAAAAAACAATCTTGCAGTTGTTCCTTGTGACTGCCAGGGGGCAAGCAAAACGTTCGTTGGCGACGTCTATCGCGGTTTCAGCTAGTTTGAGCTGTATTTTTTCTGGTTTGCTTTGTCCAGTAGGTACGGGGTGTTGACATCATTATTTACATTAGCTGCTTAATACGCAATGATATGGTCAGTTGAAATATACTCCTAGTTGCCTTGGTATACCATATAATGAGTTCACATTTCAAGGATACAACTGTGTATAATCCTGGGTAAAATTGGAAAACCAAAATCCTACATCTCGATGCTCCAAGTCGGTTCTCACTTCCTGAGTAGGATGCACCAAGTACAGGGTTTCTTGGTACAGGGTTTTCTTATGGCTCCTCTTACTTCGAGGCATCGCCTTTTGTTGGACATTCATTGATTTCACGACCCAACGACACCTGCGAGATGCAGAAGTGCCAGGGACAGTCACAACAGGACACCTTTCGTATGGCAAAGACTTGGGAACCAAAAAGTGGAACAGCCAATACTGAAAAGATATCCCTTGTCTGAAAAACAACATCTGTAGTCATATGTCAGATTACCCCAAAACAGATTCATCAGAACTTGGGAATTTCATGGGAAATTCAGAAATTCCCGGACGTTTCCTAAGTCATGGGGGTACCCCATTTTCATCATCCAGTCATTGGACCTATGACTTAGTATAGCTTAATCTATGGTGACTCAGGGATTCCCCATGACTTAAGAAACCTCTATATTTGGTTCAATCACCATTTGGGTTGGCAAAAAAAAAACCATTAAAAATTTGATTTCCGATTGATTAAAATCCCATCTTAATTTAAGATCCCATTCCAATCCCATTAGAGGGCTTATTAACCATTAATAACCATTAATAACATTTAATAACCATTATTAGCCATTGTTAACCATTATATTGACCATGATTAACCATTCTTAACCATTATTATCTATTATCATCCATTATTAACCATTCTTTACGATTATTAACCACAAATCATCGCCTTCCGAAACGCACCGAACGCTTCCAACGGGCCGCCCCGAACGGCACCGCTCCAAGGCATCCTTCTCCCGTGCCACGGCCGTCTGAATCTGAGCGTTGGCCGCCGAGACCTGGGGTCATATCAGTCGTCCCATGGGTGGAACCGAAGGGGATCCCAGGGAACATGATTTCAACATCCGGCCGATTTTGGGAGATTCATCTTACACCAGGAGGTTTGATAGTTTTGGTCATTCTTGGAGTGTAGAGTAAAACTCGTTTGAAATGGAATCTTGATCTGATTAAATTTGGATGCTCTATTCACACCAGTACAGATCTTATGATGGATTTACCACCTTTTGCGGTGTTCAGTGTTGACCCATACCCGGACAAGGTCCATGGCAAACCCTGAATGTCGTTACTTTGTAGCTGTTTAGTGGGTCACGTTTTTCCATCTTTAAAGGATGCCAAACAAAATAAACAAATACTGTAGTCCACTAGCCTCCAGTAATTTAACATAGCTATGGAAACGGCCTGTTGAGTTCAATGATTTACCCATTAAAAGATGGTGATGCGTTCCACCCTAAACTATTGGTCATTTCCAGCCTCATTGAGAGCGTGAGTCAGCTCTGCGTCTTTGGGACCCTGACAGTTCGTTCACTTCACCGTTGGAGAGGTGTCCCACGTGGATCCCCAAATCCGATTTAACGGTTGCGTGCTTTCGGATGTAAGAAAAGAATGTGGTCAGCGAAACTGCGACATTGTCGGCTCATGATTTCTTTGAAATCAACTACCAGGTATTTTGCGACACATGTTTATCTAGTTTCGGTTTCGGAGTGGAAAAGGGTAAGGCATTGTCAGGCACTGGTTCTGACGGTATGAGCCATGTCTTCCGAATGATTATATTTTTTCAGTATCTGAATCTGATTTTCATTGTAGAGTAATGGGAAAATGGTGTCCATCAAACATCTTCTTCGACAAGCCTCAAAAGAAGCAGTTGTACTACTGTACTATCTCATACTAATCATACAAAACTAGACCTAATCGAAAATCAAAACTATATCTAATCACATCGAACTAGATCTAATCATATCCAGCTAAGCAGCTATATCTATATCTAGCTATATAATGTTATATCTAACATTATCTAACTATATTTGATATTATCAAATGATATCAAGGACTTCTTTCGATTGGTCGCCTCGTCGCCCTTCGATTTCAGCATCGCTCGCATCTCCAGCATTTGGCTGTTCAGCTCCTGAGGATAGCAGTTGCTCAACTGACAAAATCAATGGACCCCAAAAAAGATAGAACACTTAAAGGACTTAGTGTAGTTAGCACTATGTACTATCTTTTGGTAGGAAATTACTATTCATGTTTTTTTCCCGGGATTGGTAGAACGGACATGGATGGATTTCTAAGGCACGTAGGGTTGGCATGGTTTGACAAACTTGGACAGAACATCAGGCAAAAAGCAGCCATGGATAATGCAAATGGACTTGGACACACTTGGAGTTTCAATGAACTGTCAGTAAACATCGTTTTCAATTGGTGTGGATATCGTCATCATTGCATTCCATCTTTCAAGGGCAACCTCCAGTCCTGCAACTGATTCTCCAGCTGCGGTTGGGGCTGTCCACTACCAACCTGCGCGCAGGATCTCAGGATGAAGCATTGACGGACTATACCAGCCGTTGCTTGTAAAATTGGGGGATGGTTTTTGCTGTATGGGGTTTTAATGGGTTTAACAGGTGTTTTACCACATTGACAAAGCTGGAAGTGGAAAAACTACCAAACTCCGCAAGTTTCCAAGCGTGGAACCCCAACTGTCAGATGTGTTCTGAACCGCACGATTTATGGGTCGAGACCATTTGGAGAAACCAAGCTGATCTTGCTATCTTGCGTTACAGTATACATCCTCCTGTTTGTTGCTCAGTATGCTCATTGTTCTTCTTCGTCGACCCGACCTGTTCTTGCTGGCCAGAATCCACACCTTTGATGGTTGGGGTATCCCGCATCTTTTGTACGTACCCACGCATCCCCATCTTGTTGACATGGTCATGCTGATGGGTCGAGTCAGATATCGTTATCAGGCTAGACATTGGGAAAGCTCAAGAGCTAGCATGATTGCCCTAAGATCACTGGGTAGTTGTTGTATTCCCACAGTACAGAGTTGTAAAATGTTGTAAACATCACCCATTTGTCGTGGTCATGTCCGCTAGTTTCTGTTTTTTGTTTGAGTATCCCCGCTGGCTCTTGGGTAGTACCCTCATATTCTCCGTTGATGCTTGGGTAGCAACCAACTCTTTGTTGGTTGCATCACGACCACATGCTTTGATGGCTCACTATCCCCATTTCGGCCGTCAGTATCCAGCCATGGGAGATGATCTTCCACTGATCTCTTAAAGAGCAAACTATCCAATGAGATAACCTATTAATTTAAGGTCGCATGGGGCCCTCTCCACAGCGATATGGGGCCCCATCGTCCCCCATCTCAAATTGCTGCTTATATCACATATAATATCATATAATATCCCAAATCTCAAGAAAAATCCTCTCACTCTCACCTATTATAGTATATCCATGTTCATTGGTTTAATCCCCTTCTTCGAAGGTGAAATCCCGATTTCTCTTGGTCAAATCATGCCAAACCCCGCCAGAAAAACCACCATTCATCGCCTGTTTGGCCAACATCGCAAAGCCTTCGGTCAGCTGCTCCACCTCCCAGCTTCATTCAGTAATTTAACTGGCATCAAACTGGTATGTTCTTTCTTTCGCACAAAAATGGCGGTCTTGATTCCTGCCAACAACAAGCTTCCAAGTCTTGGAAACCCATAACACTCTTCTACTTGTGGCATCTGCAGGAGTATATTTCTACGCCTGCTGACTATGGTAGGAATTATATACAGTTTAAACAAAGGTGGTTGAATGGGTATCAAAGTTGAATTTATAGCAAGATCGACAATGACAAATGCATTGATTATAAATGACTAGATGGATGAATGGATAGATGGATACAGTAAATGGATGGATGGATGGATGGATGGATGGATAGATGGAAGGATGGATAGATACCATGCTTAGTTACGTCATGTATCGTATGTGGAAAATTGAATGTCATATGGGTAACAATAATATATCAGATCCTATATTGATAACTAGATATGTACACCCTATCTGCCTTTTTGCATGACACGTGTATCAGACGTATGTAT